CGGATTTACATTAACAAATCAGCGAAGAAGAGCAAGATCTTTAAGTTTTAGTGTTATCCATGATACAGACTTGAACGAAAACAAGTTGAATAACATTTCTAAGCGACTTTTTATTGAATATCTTCTTGTTTCACAGTGTAAGTAAATCGTTTCTGAAAACTAAACTTTAATATGTTTAAAATTGCAGGTCAATTACATAATGTTACCAAGAAACCAGAAAGTACAATGTAATTAAAATGGGAAGTTCGTTTTTTGGCCCCGAGTGTACGCCATGCGCATTCACTGTCGATCAAAAGGACGTAGACCTATTTCGATTTTGCTGAAAACCAAGTATGCATCAGAACAGCGAAATGAACAAACTGAAAGAGAGTGCTGCGCCCTAAAATCTGTGGGATTCTCAGCGACGAGACATTAGACTAGACGAGACCATGAGATCAGGAAGGCATTACCAAAAAAAAAAACAAAAAAAACAAAAACGAAGTGTCAAGTTTGTATGCCGTGCGACCATAGTTAATAGTTTTTGATATGAGTAATTTAGTCTCAATAGCAACCAAGTTCTTCTCTAATCCGAGGGTTTATTTTCAAATTTATTTTAGACAAAAGACAATGTATTATTATACATCCAATCAAAGAGGTGTCAAATACCAAACGCCGTATAATTTTTACTCGGTTGCCTGTGAAAAACTAGTCTAAAAATTCGTTTCGTTGCATTTCTCTGAAATATAGTACCCATAAGTCTGGCATTATTTAACTGGAGAACTCACTGGATAACTAAATATCGTTCTTCAGTGTCTGTTGGCTTCCAGCATCGTCAGTAATTGCTGTCAACCATGCCCCCCCCCCCCCCTTAAACTGAATGAAAGCCGATGTTCTTGGTATTAAATTCGAAAATTGTGGAAAACGCAAATGAATTTCCTGCAAGCGATACAAAATCGAACACTCTCGACTTCGTTGCCCGTCTGCTCCCCGTCCCGAGCAGCAGTAAGGGGGACTCGCGGAGCGTCCGCAGAGAGTATGGAATTTCACGGGTATTACTGGGGCTTGGGACCCCCTTGCGCGATCCGGCCGCCGTGGGTATTACCCGCGCGACGATTCCCTTACTGCTGCTGTTTGCGAGTCTCTAAGATAGGCCAAGGAGATCTATGATATATATATGCACGAATGTAAAGAGTTTGCTTATGACTTTTGTGTAAAGTGCTTGAAACCCAAGTTTATACCTACTAAGCCAAA